CCCTGACAGAGTTAGAGGGACCCCGCCATCTTCAGACAAGAGACATTTTGAGGCAAATGCACTTGGGTTTTGAGATGGAGGTGGCAAATTACTCAGTGAGCTCATATACTTGTCTGATTTACACACTGAACCATCTTTTAGCCCTATATATCTTATAAAAAGTAAACATAAAAGTGCAGTAAATACTGATATTGTTTGAGGTGTAAGTGATCCAGGTGGATGTATGTAGGTTATATGAAATTTGCACGCTGTTTTATAATAAGGGAAAATCCACAGACTTTGGCTTCATGGTGGGCATGGTGAGACAGGGTCCTGGAAGTCATGCCTTCAATACCAAAAGATAACCACATATATAAGTACATGAAGATGTGAATGTGTGTTACCCCTACAACACACATGGAGGTCCAGTTATGCCATTCTGTTTTTGCTGGAGAAGCTTCATAACTCCAACAAAGATGCAATGCATTCTTTTTCTTTTATAGGTGTGTAGTATACCAACGAAATGTGTCCAGCTTTGTCTTTTACAGTGTATAATCTTTGAATACACATTCTTCGATATGCTTTACCAGTTATGAGAGAGCTAGGCTTAGTGGCACTTTCCTGTAGCCCCAGTTCCTGTGGGAACTGAGACGAGAGGGTTACACACAGGAGTGTGAAGACAAACAAATAGCAAAATAAAAGTAAGCAGGAATGGAGATAAAGCCCAACGCTATAATGCTTACCTAGTAATTGTAAGGCCTTGAACCAAAACCAATAATTGGAATTCTTAAAAAGACAAGTGGCATTACGGCAGACACTGCCAATACATATCCTTGCCAACAATGTCTCACTAACCTTTTTGACATCTGTACTTATATTTGACTACTATCTTACTGGTTTTCAAAAGTAACACTTCTGCCTGCATAAGTATCAATTGTTTTTATTACTATAGGTAATCAAATATTTGCATCTTGTGTGTGTAGTGTGAGTGTACAGGTGTATGCACCTGGGTATGTGCACTTGGCGGCCAGAACAGGACACATGCCATCTTCCTCCTGCTTTCCTGCCCTTGAGAAATGGTTTCTTTCTAAACTGGAAACTGGCTTGTTGGCCACACTAACAAAGATAAGTGTTTGATGTCACGAATCAGGGCGATGGAAATCAAAACTACAATGAGATGTTATTCCAACTGGAAAGCTACATTCAAAACAAAAGACAAAAATAACCAAAGTAACTCACAATGCACAGGATGCAGAAATGGAGGTGGTGGCATCATGGGTAGAATGTGCAATGCTAAGTCATGGGACAATGTGGGGGTCCCCCAAACTGAGAAGAAAACAGACATACTCCAGCAACCCCATCTATTCAGTAAACACCCAAGAGAAACTGATAATATTTTAGGGAGGTAGACATATGAGTTACCCCAATCTGGCCATTGCATATTAGATACACACATCAAAATAACACAGGAGCCCACAAGTAAGTACAAATGTTAGGTCAATTAATTTTATTTTTGAGGCATGGCCTACCTTTCAGCCCAGGATGACCATCTGCTGCCTTCATTATCCAAGATTCATCATGCCGAGAGCATAGGCATCCACAATCTTGTCATATATATGTACATATATATGAATCATGCTCATAGAGCAAGTAAAGTAGATGGAGCTAGTTATCCCTCTTTGTTTCTGATATGGCCATGAGGGTACACACCTCTATTGCCAGCGCTGGGGAGGCCAAAGCAGGAGGGTTAGCTCAGGGCCACTCTGGGCTATACAGCAAGTTCAGGGCCAGCTTGGGATAGAGAGACCCTGATTCAAAACATTTTTCTCTTACACATTACTATATGTAAAAACTTCAGAGACATAAAACTGAAGTAGGCCAGTGTCTCCCCCAAATTCATGTCCACCTGGAACCTGCGACTAGGATACAGGTCTTTGCAGGTATAAAGGTTTCATACTGGATCCTGACACAGAATGGATAGACATGCACACAAGAACAATGCCACACGAAGCCATGACTGGAGAGATACAGCTACCAGGCAACGGGCATTCAGTACTGTGGTGACCAGCAGGAGCAGCAGGGAAGACATTCAACCCCACCGACATCTTGGTTTTAGGCTTCTAGTCTCCAGAGCTAAGAGGACGCATCTCCCTTGTTTAGGCTATGAAATATGGAGTCATCTGTCATGGCCATCTATCTCTATATAGTCTGAGCTAGCATAGACTTCCAGTTGTTGCCCATGCCTCAGGTGACCTGTCATAGAATGGATCTTTCTCAGGCTGCTCTGGAAAGCAAAGACTCAGAAAACCATTTTTTTTTTTTTTTTTGTGCAGTTTTGGTTCCTTTTTTATTTATCTCAGATATGAAATTTATATAGATGAGAAAAAACCCCGATGACAAATGCTGCTGTGTCACCCAGTGCTCACACTTTATTACACTTCGCCCTCACCCCTTTCAACAACTTCAGAAGTGCGGCTGGGTTATATGGGAAGAGGTTTTTCTCTTGCAAGCGTTCAATAGCACGCTGCAGCTCCTTGAGACATTTCACTGTTCTGAGAAACAGTCCCACTTCACAGACAGCCCCATTAGGAACAACTTCCCCAGCAGCACAGAGAGGAGGAGTGGACTGGTGGGGAAGCAGAGGCCTCGGCTGAGACCCCCGGCTACGTTCTCTTTGATCCCTACTTGTCCTAGGCCGACCTTGAGTTGCCCTGCTCATTTCTTGACGTGAAGATGTCCGTTTGTAGTTTGCTAAATGCGGATTTGTGGCTTCTTCATCAGAATCTTCGGAGCTCTCATAATCTACCAGACTCAGTGGGGTCTGGGAAGGTGGGCCACGGACTGGCACTGTGTGAGCTCTCTTGGGCATCACCACCTGGCTCTGGGGTACCGAAGAGGCATTGGGAGCCGAGGAGACCTGTGGGCAAGCATTTCTGTGGCCAACAGAGGCCAGAGCACGTGGCGCTGTGTGGCTGGCGCTTCTGTCTTGGACAAGTGAGGGGGCAGCCCGGTGAGTATTTGCTCCACATCTTGATTTGGCTGCATCGAAGAACTTGCAGATGGCCAGAAAGTGACCCCAGTCTCTCTGCAGCAACTTTAAATATTTAACAAAATATTCAAGGAAACAGGTTTCGGAGGAAATCAAGAAGTCAAGAAGAACTGTAGAATCGAACACTATATTCTTTAATAAGAATAAGAAAATACAGTGTGGATTACAGCCGTTCCTATGTGTGTAGTGGACCCATGCTTCATTTTCTTGGGTCAGGCTTCTAGAAGCATCGTCCTGTCCTCTGAAAACACAGATAAGGGAGAGTTCAGGGTGGCGGGCTTCACAAACACCTCACACTCACTTGACATAGTACTTTCAAAGGAAATCAAAATAGAATTTGCTCACCACCAACTAGTTTTGGTTTTTGTCTGCACAAAAGTCTGTGTCCTTTTCTTCAACACCAGAAGCCCCTCTTCTTGAGGGCCACTTATTCCATGTTTAAGGTAAAGCTTAAGACCACCACATCAGGGGTAGATATGTGACCCCCAACTGACCAATCAGAACATGGCCTCATAATCCAAGGGAGTTAATCATATCTCCCCTGAGCCATCTCTATGGCTAAAAAAATTACAACTGTAAGACTGATTAAAAAGGAAGGATGAACCATCTGGGTGGCCAGGCCTGAGTATCAGGCTATGAGATAATAGACAGGGGAAATAATAGCTGGCATGATTTGAATACATGAACACACACACACACACACACACACACACACACACACACACACACACACAGAGTTATATTTGATGCCAATTTGGTGCCCTTAAAACTCTCAACTGGCCAAGTGGTGATGTTGCACGCCTTTAACGCCAGCACGCGAGACAGAGGCAGGTGGATCTCTGTGAATTTGTGTCTAGTCTGGTCTACAGATCAAGTTGCAGGACAGCCAGGGCTACACAGAGAAACCCTGTCTAGAAAAACAAAATAAAACAACAACAACCCCAAACAAAAGTTCTCTAACCAGGCCTCAAAAAATTCTATTTTTGTTTAAACCAGTTTCAACTGGTTTCTGTCATTTACAAACAAGAAAACCTTAACAGGATGGCATTTTTTTTTTTTAGGTCCCCATGGCACCTTCCTCTCTGGACACAGTGAACTGAAGCGGAGACTCATAAAGCGGGGGGGGGGGGGGGGGGGGGGCGGGACTTAAGGCAGTGCAGAGTGACAACACAAGCTCTTGGATATTTACTGTAAACCTGCATTTCACTATTTTTGAGCCTAACTGAAATCACATGTAGGAATTCTGTTCCTTGAGTAGAACCTTTTGAAAACTGGCTCCAAACACTCATAGATGGAAAGCAGCCATTGCCAGCTGGGCCCTAACGTAGCAAGCACAAGGCTGCACCGCCAATCATTAGTGAGAAAGTCCTTCTCTCAGGCCAAGGGAGAGAGAGGGGAATGGAGCAAGCACTTGAGGGTTTTAATGAAGCAGAGCAGAGATGATGGAGAGGGTCATCGGCTGTCATTCAGAAGCAATTATAGACACTGTTGCAAGTATAAAGCAGAATTAGGGCAGCAGGGTTCTCGCGATGTGCCTCCAGACCGAGGCCTGAGTGTGTCTGGGAGTGTGAGTTAGGAAAGACTCTGCTAGTTATTTCCATTTGTATTTGCTTTGACAAAGGCACAGGTTGCCCTCTAGAAGCTTGAGGTTTAAAAAACAATGGCTCTTAACTATCAGCCACGGCTCAGAGAAGGCACTGGCTTACCTTGACTCCACAGGCAACACACAGGAACCCAGGGGTTCTGACCTAGCTTTGTTTTACTATCCCTGATTGGCTCAGTAAGCCAGTATCTCAGGATAATGCAAACAGCATCCATTTTCATGGGAGGCAGAGTTAAGATGGGAGGAAACCACAAGATAGTTCTACCCAAGTAGAAAAGAAACAATGCACCAAGCAGAAACACATTTTCTGACACACCACATGTCTCCTGACTCTCTGGCTTGTAGGCAGTCTACTTGAAACACACAAACCTGGTCAGCTGGAGGTAGATGCTGAGGGATGCTTTGGCAGCCTCCAGCATGTCATCGTCCTGTTCTATGAAGACCCTGGACAACCATTCACACTGGTTGTGTAGTTGTAGAGTGGGCTGAAGGTGAGGTCTCAAGAAGGTCAGTAACTGGGACATGAACTTCTGCAAGTCAACTTCAAACAAGAGAAATTTTAGAGCGCAGGTAATGTTTATGAACACAAATAATATCTTGTCTGTACACATCATTGTAAGCGTATTATCGTAATCCACACTCTCAGGTCCTAGAGTCGGGATTAGCTGTTTCACAAATGAAGAACTGAGGATCACAAAGCTGACTCATTTAAAGCGTAGAGTCAGGGTATCCCTCTGCCAAAAGACTAGCCACAGTCTCTCTAAGAAATAAATATGTGATTTCATGATGAAGTATGTGACTTGAGTAGACAACAACCATCTCTTCATTGGCGACCACAGCTTTCTCTTAACTATAGACTGCTAAGCCATAAAAAGAAATGTCTTCAAAACAACACCAAAATCTTCCTTTTGCTTGTTAAAGACCTAAAAGAAAGTACTGTAAAAACCCAGACAAGGTCTAGGAGTTTAATTGCACTCAAACCTCTGAATTATGTAACAGATGCCACCTAGTGTTATAAACTGTAATTGCGCTAATAAGAACATTAAAAAACGATACACAGATGAGCAAGAGGTCACTGCTGAGGAGCTGAGCTCTCCTTGGAACCACAGGCTGCTTACTGTAGACAGCCACTGTTGTCTCTCTTCTAGTGAAAGGAAGTCATACCTTCTACAACACCCACACTGAAATTGCTCTTCTGTGCATTCTGACCCTGCACTTGTCACCTTCAAGTTATGTGCAACAATTCCTTTATCAGCATAACTTCCCCTACTAGTTTCAACAAAACTTCTAATTATCAGTAATGAACGTAGGTAATCATACTGCTTTTATGAATAATATAATTAGATATGAACTGACCTCTATTTGCTTGGTAGTGACTCAAAAGCAATTACTTTCATATTCATTATCCTATGATTTTAATTGTACAAGGAAAACTGACAAGCTTCTTAAAATTCAATTCCCCCACAGCCCCTTCCCTCCCTTTGAAAAAGTAAGTACTAAATTTAATCAGGAAACTATAACTAGATTAATGAAATGGCACTAGCCTTACTACTCACTAATCACGAGTCCCTTTTACTTAAGTGAACAATGAATTGCAAAGTGCTCTGAATAACAAATGAGTTTGGAGAATCACCTCTCATTTCAGCTGCTGAGGTACAATTCTGGAACTTGATTTCTAAGGATTTCACAGTAATTAAGCTGGCTGCTCTCAGGGTCACGTGGTCAGGTCCAGACCTGGGTCTGCATCCAGGCTGAATTACATCCCCTCCAAAGCAGGAAGGCTTTCCAGGCACAGACAAGTCCTTCCACAATCCCAGGCGCACGGCATGCAGCAGTGCATCAGCTAAGGCCAGCAAGTCACCGTCCAGGAGGTGGTCCGGTGACATCAGGGCAGGCACAGATCCCCGGCACAGGTCTTCCCCCATTTTACCAAGGAGGCACTTTTTGATGACTATAACCAATTTCCTTTTAACAAAAGCTGGAATAGGCCAGGCGAGAATATCTAGAGCATGGGGTTTCAAAAATAGCATCCTTTGGCTCTTAAAGTGCAGTTTCAGGTGGATTCTGGAGGCTGTGAGAAGTTCAAGCAGCTCCAGGAAGCACACCAAGCTGTTGACTACATTAGAGGGATTCTGGAAGTTTCCAAAATGCTGAGAAAATAAGGAATTGTAGAATACTTCAAAAGTAATGTCAAAAGGAGCCAAGAGCTGCTTTAGCATTTCTGTAATTATAAAAATAGGAGTTATAAGAAACAGGAAAACAAAAGCTTTCTTAAAACAAAATTTTACAATTCAATGTGTTTTACATCACTTTGTAAGATAAAAAATAAGTTTAAGAAAAGTTACTTCTAATAAAACCAAATGAGGGTACACAGATTAAAAGCTAATTACTAAAAGTTAACATTTGCTTCATAAATATGGACAATATTAAACTACATGAGATACTTAATGATCAAGTTTAATTTCTTTCTAAAAAGGTAATCTTCAGTGCTGGGGAGGTAGTTCATTTGGTAATGTGCTTGCTACCTAAGCTTAAGGTCCTGGACTAGGATTCCCAGCATCCAGGTAAAAGCTAGACAAGGTGGCACATGTTTGTAACCCTGAGCTGGAAGAAGAGGATGGCGCTCACTGGCTGGCTAGCCTATCCCTGTTGATGAGCTCTAGATCCAATGAGGGCTCTTATCTCACCAAATAAGGTGGAAAGCAGTTGAGGAAGATGCCCAGAATTGACTTATGGCCTCTATGTGAAGACATGTGCACACATATCCACATGCATATGTCCACACACCAAATACATACACCACATACATCAAGGTTATGTCCGATAAAAAAAAAAAATGAGGGATTCTTACATTTTTCCATATTTCAAGAGAAATGACGAATAACATACATTTTATTCTCACTACAAACATAATGCTTCTACAGAGGTGATGATCATTTATGGACAGTGTCATCTGTACCTGCTTGCTGGCAATGTGTATCTTTAAAGATTTCCTTTATTACAACTGTAAGAATCCAGAGGCAATGCACTGCTTCTCCACTTTCAGAGGATTCAGAGAGATGCTTTTGGCAAAAAGTGATCCAGGGATTACTCAATGTCATCTACAAATGAGAAAAAAAAAAAGGGTAGTTACAATTATTTTGTTTATAATTAAAAATTACTTATTACACAATACAATGCCACAAAACGTTGTCTACTTGAAAAAAGTATGGTAAATTTGACAAAACAAGGAACAAAAGTATTAATATTCTTTAAGGCAGAAAAGTCAACACACTATAGAAAAGAACCATGAAAACATCCACATTATTTATAAATGGTAATATGCAAGTCTTTCTTTTTTAATACCCTATTCTATTTTCCAAATTTTTACCATAAAGAACTTTAATATTCAAAGTGTTACTTTTAAAACAAGCAATAATTGGAGCACAAAGTCAACAGATGTTGGATATGCATGCATTTGCAAGCCCCTGTAAAATACATGTATGTGAGAATGCACCACGGGCCAGAGGCCAAAGCCAGGCATCCCACTCACTCACTTCCCTCCTCAATTTTTGAGGTAGGATCTTATTTTATTCTTATGTTTTTACATTTGCTTATTATTGCGTGTGCAAATGTCCTATTGATCCAACTATCTGAAGGAGGAAAATCATTGCCAATGATTTCTGAAAGAGTCTGAAAGAGAAATAACTACATTCTGTCTGATTTATCTGACCTTCGCTCTCAGCTGGAAATAGAGGAGCGACGAGAGACACTTCGCAGCCATGTGAGACAACAACTTGTCAGAATTCCGGAGCATCCAGATCTGTGGCAAAACAGACACACTCGTGACACTGCTGGAACCTTTGAAACCTGGACTTGGTACTTAAATTAATTAAAAAGGGGCTCACCAGTTTGGAATCGACTTCAGCTGACTGCAAAAGGCCTTCAGTCAGCTCTCTGTACTCCTCCTTTGCCTGGGGCTCTGTTTCAGGGGACAGCACTCGGCTCAGCATCACATCCAGCACTGTTAACTGAAGGAGCTTCACCTCCCGGGCCCTGCTCATCACAAAGTGACCCTTTGCACACTCCCATGCTTCAGGAAGGGTGGTCGGGTCACTGGAGGATGGCCCATGGTGGCTTGGCACCCCATCAAGTGCACCACTGACATTAGAACGAGCTAGAGAGCCAGCTTGTTCTGAGAGGTCAGGGTTGAGATAAAAGATGTAACCACGGACATCATCTTCAAGGCTGGCTCCAAGAAGTACTTTCTTGTATAATTGATCCAAAATGTCTTCGACACCTTCCATTTTGATCCAAAATGTATCTGGTAAGAGGGTCCACAGCCCCAAAATAAATATTGAAGGCTTAGAAATACAATGACTCTCTAAGATGTTCCCTCAGTGAAGCCTGAAATAAAAAAAGTAATTTATAATTAAGTGTTAAAGCTGTATTACAAATGAAAGAAAACCATGTTCACTTAGCAAGCCTCAAGTTAGAGATAATGTTAGATACGGGACTCTTCAAATAAAAATCGTAATATACTAAAATCACAATGATGAAATGTATGTTTTATATGCAGATAAAGCTATTTGTAGTGTTGTTTTGCATGTGTGTGTGTGTGTGTGTGTGTGTGTGCGCGCGCGCGCGCGCGCGTGTGCATGCATGTTTGTATCTTACTGAGAACTGAACCCCGGATTATTGGGCATGCTAGGCAGGCACTTTACTTCTGGGCTTCATCTCTAGCCCTGCCTTTTATTTTTTGTTTTGAGATGGAATCTCTGTAAGCTGCCTACAGTAGCAGGCTCACCTTCATCTCACTCCACAGCTCAGGGAGACCTTGAACTTATGATCCTCCTGCCTCACACAAGTGAGCCTCTGGGATCATGGGCTGGCATCACCAGCCCAGCAGAAAAATACCAGCTTTCTTCTAACAGTTCTAGGTGGCTGTCTGACTTCTCAGTCTTGCTACTGTTGAAAGTGGAGTCAGACTATAGAAACCTGGCTTCAGTGGAATCTAGCCAACTTGCCCGGTTTATATCTGAGAGGGGGAGTAGGGATTGAGAAAGGGCAGGTAAAAATACTAAGGAAAAGATAGACACAGGATAGAATCAGGAGGGCCCTGAGTTTATTCTTCAACATTCTCGTATACCCAAGCCAAAAAGGGGAAAATGGATGGCAAGAGACTTCTTTATCATGAAACAAAGAAACAACACACTTTTTTTCTTAATTCCTCAAACATTTGGTAGCCACACCTTAGACTAAATCTCTTGTTATCTGCCCTTGAAGGTTAAGAGTAACCATACCTCAGACCAAGTCTCCTCTCTGGGGGCTAGAAGGTCATCAGGGAGCTTTATATTTGTTGAACTTGAGCTTTTTCTAATTCAGTTTGATGTGGTCTGATTTGGAAACCTACTAAAGAAAATCCAGTTTCACCCCAGAAAAATGCTGTATTAAAGGAAAGGAAAATCTGAAAAAGCAGACTAGGGAATCAGCTGGCTCTCACATGATTGCTCAGGGACTGGGTCACTACAAAAAGAAATGCCTTGCTGGTGTGGAAAGAGATGCACCATTCAGAGGCCATGCCTGTTAAAATGTCATAGCTGCTGTCTAGTATGGGGCCCTCTGAATGTGGGGATGCGTTGACATCTTTACAGGATCCACAAGGCAGGCTGCTGCCATGGGAAAAAACAAACAAAAATTTGGAGATGTCTAATCAGGATATAGATGATGTCCACTGACAACTGTTACAGCCCCCTCCCCTGATGTAAAAGAAAAAAAAAAATCCTTTTTAGAAAAAAAATGTAATAAAAAAACATTGGGAGCAAAGACCTTGGCCTCATCCAAAAGCTTAGTATACAAAGTAAAAACTGATATGCTAGACTCCAACAAAATTAAAATGCTGGTGCTCTAAATGATCCTATTAAGAAGCTGAAAGACTGCTGACACAGCTTAGTGGTAGAGTCCTTGACCAACATGCATGAGGTTTGCCATCCAATGCCTGGTAGAGGAAACAGAAAAGAAATAAAGACAAGACAAGCTACGAAGACTTAGTACCATAAAAGCTCTCAAAAATCAGGACTGGCCGTAATGCCGCAAGGCTCTGCTTGGAATGTCGATTCTCCAAATGCAGTCAGATGGTTTTGACAACTGAGGACTGATTCAAAGAAACTGACACTGGGTTTCCCAGACATCCAGAACCAGATCCCCAGCAGCCTCACCTCCCCAGCAAAGGGAGATCAGAAATGCACTGGTGTTCACATGTCTTAGAATTTTCAGAAGCAAGAGGAATAAATAAATAAATCAGTTTGGATACAGAAAGGAGGCCACAGCAGCAAGCTGACTTCATAGCTGAAGGACACTGCACGGAGCTGTTACAAGGCACAGAAAGACCTCACTCGCATGGAGGCCTCTGCCCTTGGCTCCCACGGTATTGCCTAATCATGAGTGTAGAGCTGGGCTTTGCTGCTTTGCTGGGGGAGTGCCTGAAGATCACTATGAAGGGCACTGTCTGTCTTCTGCCATCATTTGCTTCTTGTGTCCACATCAGTCATCCTGGAATCTACTCACCTGTCCTGGGCTCTGTCCTGGACAGAACAGAAAAGCCAGTCAATTGTGATGCAGAAGAGAAGAGCTAGGCAGATGCTGGCCTGATTTTACTGTGAAAGACAATCCTGAGGGATCTCATGAAGGTCTCAAAGAGGCTCGATCTGCATATTTAAAAACCAAGGTTGCAAGCTGACCAGAAAAGGGAATTATCCCTGAGCAAGAAGCTAAGGAGACACCCCCCCCCTCCCCAGGACAGCAGTGAGCACCAAGGCCTCTTTCCTGGCTAGCATAGTTGTCACCCATTGTTATTTTACCTGAACTCTTATCAGAGTCACTGAGAGTGTTCATTAAACAGATAAAAAACTTTGGCTTTAGGAAGACTCTCCCAACTGCATTTAAGTCAGTAATTACAGAAAAATGTCATCCAAGGTGAGGTAGTGTTTTCAAAAAAAGCAGAGCCCTATATAACCCAGTGCTGTCTATTTTCAAGTGTCCTCTCTACTCAGCTACTGTTGGCAAGTGACTAATCTCTTACCACAACAGGAAACAAACAAAACCATGAAAGAACAACAAAAATAACTATAAAGAATACCACTCTCAGAATAGCTGCAATAACACTCAGAGACAACAAATGCTGGCAAAGATGTGCAGAAACGAGATCCCACTGCAAATTAATTTGGCAGTTTCTTAAAAAGTTGCACATCTAGTCACCAGATGACCCAGCAGCTGTGACACTGGCATTCGTGCCAGAGAAATAACACCATCCACAAAACCTGGTACAAGATGTCCTCTACAGGGTGTGTGGTTAAAGGAAGTGACACAGCCACACCATGAAATACTTTTCATTATCAACAACAACCCTACTGCTATATGAGATGGCCTAGATGGCCCTCAGTGGGATTATGCTGAGAGGAAAAAAGGCAATCTCAAAGGCTGCACAATATTTCTGTTCCCGATGAGCAATGTACTGCAGATGGAATTCAGCCGCTGGCTGAGGGCCACACATCCTTAGTAGGCGGGCCTATGAAAGATAACAGAAATGCCAGTGCTAACAGATGGGTAGGGAACAGAGTAACCTCTATATGACAAAATCACACAAAACTAAGCACAAATGCAAATACGTGCATACAGGTGAAGAGGGGAATCTGGAGGCTGTTAGGCTGTGTCAAGACGCTGGCAAGATGGTGCCAAACAAGATCCTGGGCTGTGTTGAACAAGATGCTGGGAGAAAGGCTACATAGTGTCTAATTGTATTTTCCTCAAACTGCTTATGATTCTACCTTAGAGTAAAAGAAGCATATTAAAGAAACCTCAGTAATTTTAGCCAGGTAAGGCAGCACACCCCTCTAATCTCAGCTACTCAGGAGGCCGAGGCAGTAAGATGGTACAGAAGGGAAGAGAAGATTGGAGACATAGCTCAGTGGTAGAATGTTTGCCCCACATCAACCTCCAGAACCACAACAACAAACAAGAGACCCAATTCCCAATTTTGTTAAGTATTATAGTCTTTTCATTCACACACACCGTTCATATCCATTAAATGTTATTAAAAATACACTAGTTCTCTCCCTCCCCACTTTGATGCCCAGGATGTCCTTGAACTTACAGTTCTCTAGTCTAAACCTCCTGAATGTTGGAGTTATAAGCTATGTCACTATGCCCAATTTACTAAAATTCTGATTCTTAAAGCCTCTACACCAAAACCGGAACAGAATGTATTTGAAAGTCCATTTAAAATGTTTTCTTAAAATATTTTAGATGTTAGCCTGGGGATAGTGGTGCATTATTTTAATCCTAGCATTTGGGAGGCAGAAGCAGGACAGTCTCTGAGAGATCAAGGCTAGCCTGGCCTGTCTACATAGTAAGTTTCAGATCAGCCAGAGCTACATGGTAAGACCCTATTTCAAAAACAAACAAACAAACAAACAAACCTAGAAGCTGAGTGTGGTGGTTCATGTTTGTAACCTCCACACTTGGGGGTTTGTGGGACACGGGAGGAAGAGGACTTCAGGAACACCCATGGGTGCCAGTAAGATGGCTCAGCTAGTCAAGGCACCTGCCATAAAGCCCAGTGGCCAGCGTCCAGTCCCCGGAGCCCACCTGGTGGAAAAGAACCAACTCCTACAGATTTCCTCTGCTCTCCACATGTGCAAGTGTGCGCACATAATCAAATGAACATAAAACATAAGTGGTCCAAGGTCAGCCAGTACCTGTCTCTAAATAAATACTTTATTAGTAATAACAATAACACAAAGATCATCTTTGGTACACAGTGAGTCAGCCTGGGCTACATGAGACCTGATGCAAAACAAACAAACAAACAAACAAACAAAACAAAAAAAAAACCCCAAAGAGAACCCCCCCCCAATTTTTAGGATATAGATAGAACTTTGAACACTTCGTTAGAGAAAATGTGGTTTCTCATCACTTAATTTCAGAATTATCCAAACTGCCCATACTTCTATTTCCATGGCCAATATTATTAAAAGTAAAACATTGACTTTCTTTTTACAAATTTACTGGAGTTGGTGAGGAGAGTCAGGATTAAGCCACAGCTTAAGTCAACAATGGCTCAACTACATAGTTCAGATGCTGCCTATGACATTCAATGCTGAAGTTGAAGCACTCCAAGCAAAGGCTTGGATTCCCATCTGTCCCCACTGAGACATCATAAACTGTGGGAAACAAGCAGGGTAAGAGGCCCAGAGTGAACACCAACCAATCAGAACTGCCCTCATTTGCATACCACCCTTCCCCATCTAGAGGCAAACAGTTCTGTCCTTGCCCAACCCACTGGTCCCTTGAAGTGTTTGTAAGGTTATCTTTTCTACTTTGATATGGATTGGTGAATCTGACCCACATCTCATTTGTCTGCCTGGACTCTGGGTCACATCAAGTACCTGCTTCCATTCCTCATGATCCTTGGTAAGCTACATAGGGCTTGGAGACAACTGACAGCCTCTACTTGGGACAACTCCCCAGGAGGACCAGGTTTCTATGCTCCAGGGCTGATGGACTAGAGTTCCTCTGGGAGTTTTCTCTCTGCTTCAGGACCCTTGAACAATTCCACAGAAGAATGAGGAAAGCTTGATTCTTGGCTGGGACCAGTCCCTTGTGGAACAAGGCCTCCCTTCTCTCACACTCCACAGCCCTCTAGTGGCAAGGTACCAGAGCTGTCTTATACCTCTCAACAGAAGGTCTCTCTTCCTGTGGCATCTGACAGTTCCCAACTAAGGACAACTTTGGATCTGAAGGTTGGTATAGAGTGGCCATCTGCTTAGACTGGAAGGAAGAAAGGACTGTTTCCTGCCTTTCCTCACCCCATCTCAGTATCTTAGTGTCCAATGCAGCAGGCCATGGCAGCTCTCCAGGGTGGATCTGCATACACTATGGTAAACACTTGAGTACTATAGTTTCTGTCCTTCCTTTCTGACTGTCCCTCCTGAGATTGACTCCATTCATCTGAGGGTGCTCCATGACATCAGACTGCAGAACCTGGACCATGTACCCAGTGACCCTGACCTTTTAACTGTTGGTTCCAGTGCCAAGATGTCCTTTTAGTAAGTTAAATGCCCTCTCGTGGACATCTTCTCAGGAAGTCCTTTAGGAAGACTAGCAATTCCTTTTGAGAGTGCATGTCAAGTATCTTCAACCTAGGGCCCTTTTCCCCAGAAGGGTTTCTGATACGGTGGGAAACTGACCTCCTCAGTCATGAGACAGTCACCTCTTTTCCCCTCAGACTCACTCTCAGGGGTGGGAGTGAGGGACGTTTGAAAAAAACTGAAAAGAAAAAAAAAAAGAAAGAAAGAAAGGAAGGAAGGAAGGAAGGAAGGAAGGAAGAAAGGAAGGAAGGAAGGAAGGAAGAAAAAAGATCCCCAGACTCTAAAAACATTGGTGTTCCTTTGTGTCATGACCTGGCTCTGAGACAAACAGGCATGGCCCCAAATCAGTACCTTAACTGCAGTACTAGTCTCCAGTTTGCTCTGCTCTCTTACAAACTTTGGAAGAGATTTCATGTTCACCAGCTCTCCTGTCCCCTTTCTCCAGCTCCAAATCTGTGACAAACCCACTGTGGATGTCTGGCCAGGTTCTTGGGGTCCTTAGAAGGGCAGGGGTTGTCCTACCTCGTTCTACTGATCACACCACCCACACCTACCTTCTCAATAGCTCTCCCCAGTACCCTGAGGCCCTGAGCCTCCCTCCCTCTCACACAACTATTTGGGGGATACCTTGAGGGCACAAAGAGCTCCCACTGGACAGAATAGGCCTAATACCCCTTCTGTGAGGTGGCTAACAGAGATCTGGAAATCATCAGAGTCCATGTGTCCTTTCCAGTGCCTGACTCCTCCCACATAGAAACTGAACAGTTCTTTTATTCAAGACCTCTCCACTTCATTAAAGAATTCCATGTGGTATAAAAACTGTCTCCTTGTCTTAGGATTTTTATTGCTATGAAGACACCCTGACCACAGCAAGTCTTATAAAGGAAACATTTAATTACAGTGGCTTGCTTAGTTTCAGAGGTTCAGTCCATTATCATCATGGCAGGGAGAATGCAAACAGACGTGGTGATGGCTATACCTTGATCAGAAGTGACTGTGACAGACTTAAGCTTAAGCAAAAGAAACCTCAAGGCCCACCCCCACAGTGACACACTTCCTTCAACAAGGCCACACCTCCCAATAGTGCCACTCCTATGAGCTTATAGGGGCAAAATACATTCAAACTACACACTCCTATTCTTGAGAAATTTGGTTACTGCTCAAGAAATGAGTCAATGAGACTCATGCCTGTACTTCTTGTGCACTGTTTAGATTTTTCTGTCAACTCAACACAAGCTAGAGTCAGCTGAGAAAAAGGAATTTCAATTACTAGAATGCCTCTATAAAGATGGCCTGTAGGCCAGTCTAGAGGGCACTATCTCGAGTAATGGTTGATGTGGGAGGGCCCAGCCCAGTGGGGATGATGCCATCCTGGGAAGGTGATCTTGGGGTGTAGAAGCCAGGGAGCACATTCCTCTTGGCCTCTGTTTCAATTTCTACCTCCAGACTCCTGTCCTGACTTCTGTCCATGATAAACTGCCAGGTACAAAGTCCTCCCCAAGTTACTTTTGGTCTTAATGTTTATCGCAGCCATAGAAACCAAACTAACACACTTGGAAGCCCCTCCAGGGGGAGATGCAGTTCCCAGACAGACCTTGGGTGAACTTAACCCAGATAAGGCTCTAGAAGAGGGAGTCATAATTACCTGTGCTCATGGTTAAGAGGAGAGATGAAAAAGGACACAAGGAAACCTATTAATTGTACCAAATTGAAAGGAGTAAAACAGGCCCAGGGAGAACACAGCTTTGCTTTGTTCCAGATTGGCCATGAGGACACATACTGAGCCGGATGGAGAGAGGCCCAAAGGTCTTACCATTCCTAAAGCCCATTTCATCAACCAAGCTTCCTTAGATAGCAGACAAAAACCTCAGGAACTAGACAGACCCCAATTCCCTGGACCTCACTTTACTCGATATAGCCCTTAAAATATCTACCGATTTGGGGGAGGCTTCAAGGACCAAGAAGGAAGGGCAGTGTGACAAGCAACAGGCCCTGTACATGAGAGCAGTCATAGAATATGCCTATGCCAGGGTAGCCCTAGCTACCTTCCCAGCATGGCCCCATCCTGCATGCTAAAGCCCAAGTTCACTGAAACTTTCTCTCCTGATTCAAAAGGACCCTCACTAGACTGTTACTGTCAAAATCCACATGCCCACCACCTTGCCCATAACTGGAACTGCAGGTCAACACTGAAAAGGAGACTGCCCCCTCTTGCTCAGAAGTGTGTGTGTGTGTGTGTGTGTGTGTGTGTGTGTGGTGTGCGCGCGCACACACGCGCACATGCATGCATATGTGTGTGTCATCTCAACAATACAAGTCCATAGGGCTCTATGGCCAGAGGGACTGACAGTTTAGACTCTGTTCCTTTACGAAAAGCCCGCTGTGGAGAGGACTCATCTTCAGTTTGACTGATAAGAGCCCAGAGGTAGTATAGACTCCAGATTTTCCATCTCTATGGGAGAGGCTTGAATAAGTCTTGTTCTTAGGAGCTGGAGTCAGGGGGATAGCAGCATTTAACACAAACTTGCTCTTTCCCAAATCGCTCTGCCACTACAATTCTCCAAAGGCTAACTCTTTCTAATGTACCACAGGCCTAGACTGGGCACCAGAATCATTTTGAGCTGGGATATAGTATAGCTCAGAGGTGGGGCATGCGTCTAGTATGTGTGAGGTCCTGGGTTCTAGCCCCAGAACCACCAGTATCACCACCTCTCATTTTAGTACCAGAAGAAACTTGACTATGATCTGGACAATATTCTCAAATTCTAGAGCTTGAGTTCCCCAGAAGGCTTGTTAGAACATGCACACCATGCTTGCCCATCTACCCTAGATTCTGACTCTGTGGGTCTGGGAAGGTTCAAGAATTGGATCAAAGCTGACACTAAAATTTTCTGCTCAATTTTACTGATGAGAAAGTTGAGTTCCCTGGCTTCATATCACACTGTGCTAAGCATTTTCTAAAAACGGAACATCTTATTAATATTAAAAGTGGCGGTTTTCTACTCTTAGTTACTCATGATTAAGCAGTCCTTCCAAAATCAATCTTTCATGGGAAAGACTCCCTACTTTTTACCACCCCAAGTCCTGTTAAGTGTCGCTCATTTCAGCATCCTGTTTGTTGGGTCAGTGAGACCCAGTGATTTCTCTACTCACCCTACCCCTTTCTGCCTGGTACAGCTGGATTATGGCTACAAGAATGTCACTGGGTGACATCTCGTCTATTGTGGTTCTATTCATAATTGCTGAGTCCTTACACAGTACCATCCAGAATGGTGCCTACCAACATCCAGAGCATAGGCTACCATTTTTTCCATGCTTTAGAGGCTAGACATGGCTTACAGAGCAGTGGCCATACATGGAAGACAGTATAAATTATTAGGAAAAATTTCCAAGCCCCAGATTCTAGAGACCAACCAAGTCATAGTTGCTACATTTGGGGTTGGGACTTCCTCCAATGAGTCATTATTTAAGAGTTGAGTATTTAACCACTGAAAACAAAAAGTCATATTGTTTTATATATAAGACCCATTGGTATTTTTCATTATACTTTCACGAATAAACCAAACACCATATACACCCAGACACACATGCACACACATGTGTGTGCTACATGTGTTCAGGAGCCTGCAAAGGCCAAAAGAGAACGTCAGGTCTCACGGAGTTAGTGCTACAGGTAGTGGTAAAGCATCTAATGTGGGTGAGGGACTGAACTTGGGTCCTAAGAGCACTGTGTGCACTTGAGTTGAAGGCAAGGTGTGTCGGTGCCAGTTTGTAATCCCAGCACTGGGGAGACAGAGGTAGAAGGATTTCTGAAGTGCCCTGGCTAGCCAGCCTAACTGGTGACTGGTGAGCTCCAAGCCAATGAAGGATCTTGAGTCATATGAGGTTGATGGGGTTTCTGACACCCAAGTTGTACTATTGCCCCCATCCACACAAGCACATGTATAAACCCACACGTTTGTACGTACAAACACACACACACACACACACACACACACACACACCCCAATGAACTGGCTTCTGTAGGTACCTACCTGAAAGATTATACTGGAGTAGTCAAACAAATGTGGTTAGTTCCTGGGACTGCTTCTTCATGGACAGAAAGACCATCATTAAGACAGGGTGAGGTTTTCCCCGACGTTCTTTAGGACCAAGAAACAACAGTCCAGGTTTGGTTCAGCAGGAATTGGAGATCAGTGCAGTGGACTTGTGGCTTATCTGGTGAAGGAAGATCCTGGAGTTACCTCCCTCCTCTAGACAATGGTTTACAGGAAGAACAATATGCCTGACTTGGCTGCTGCACAGATGTGCAGATGTGCTGCCCCCATTGAAGTCATCACTTAAAACAAATCTAAGAATATACATACATACATACATACATACATACATACATACATACATACATACATACATCCTTGTCTAAATTGACTTTGAGAAGTAAAGACTAGTGGGGGGGGGGACTAGTGGTCAGAACAAGATTTTAAAGCAACTCAATGTACCAGAGAAACATTCTACTGGTAACATAGCTAAGGGAGTAGAGGCTTCTCTACCATGCCTGCATCATGAGGTGTCACCTACTAAGGAGCACTGTATCCCTCACACATCCCCCACCCCTCTCCCCAGACTGCAAGATTTTTAAGAGTAGTGTCTTCTGACAACTGTGAATGATGAAAGAAACAAAAACATTTCCTCTTATTAAAAGCCATATAATAATCTAGCCTAGAGAGATGGCTTGGTAGTGAAGAGCACTTGCTGCTTTTGCAGAGGACCTGAGTTCAGTTCCCAGCACCCACACAGTGGCTCACAGCCCTCTGTTGTTCCAGTTCCAGGGGATTTGACACCCTTCTCGGGCCTCCTCAGCACCAGCATACATGTGGTTCACAGACATACACGAAGACACCCATTCCCAGAAAACAGAAACAAATATAGACGAAACTGTGCTACACTGAAACCCTAGCTACCTACTTCATATCAGAGTGGGAAAACACCCCAGAGGAGTGGCTTCTACATCAGTGAGGTCCAAGTACACCCAGGAAGGCTGCCTGCCTTTGCTGCATGCTATTTGGTAGTATTATTTAAGAACTGGGCCTAACATGACCCTGTAGAAGGAATATCACTTACACTAAAAAATAAGACACAGCTTACTACTAGGAACTAGGTAGACTAATCATTAGTTCTTATGTTTTTAAATAAAACTTAAATATGTAGTTATTGTATACTGTTGAAAGGATCCTGAAAGTTTAAAACACAGTAATCAACATTAAAATATTTTGCCCACATTGATACTGTAAATATAAATGTCTTACTATTAATAAGTCAATGTGTTATAATATCAGTATCTCTTGTATTAAAATAAAATAAAATAGGCTGGCAAGATGGCTGAGTAGATAAAGGCTGGTTGACACCTGAGTTCTATTCCTGGGACCTACCACATGCAAGGTGAGAAGCAACTATTGAAAATTGTCCTATGATCTCCACATGAATGCATACATACATACATACATACATACATACATACATACATATATATATATATACATATACACACACAAACTAAACAAATATAAAATTGTTTTAAATTAAAAACGAACCATGCTATGGTAAGATAAAATCATGAAATTAAATCAAGGATTTTTTTTTTGTTATTGTTGAAATATATTTACCATTTTAAAAATTTGAAAATATTTACAATCTGATTTTGGGGGTCAGAATATTTGTACTGTGTTTCCATGCAAACCCTGCCCTTATCCTCAAATAAACAGAATGGTATAGATGCTTAACTGGGAATACGAGTGGAGTTGGCTAATTTAAATTAGCTATTTATGTACAGTACTAATAGTTTTCTTTTTGTAACATTTAACCTGTCACTTAAACAAATTTTCTAAATATTTCTAATATCAATAATAATATTGTGCAGTCTAAGGTTGGGGTGTAGTTCAGTGACACAGCAGCTGCCTAGCAGGTGTGAGTCTCTGGATTTGACCCCTAATACTGCAACAAAATTCAACCAAAGAAAAAGCAACCTCCAAAGCTTTGTAACCTAACCTACTTTCAAGTCAAAGAATTTTAATTTACGAATCAGCAAATCTGATAGCGGAAGTCAATAAAGAATTCTGGGTTCTTCAGTAGCACACCTTGTGAAATTCCGGCTATCTGATTGATGTCTCTCCTGTTATCTCCACATGGTTTGAAAAGCTGCTGCAGCAACTCAGATGTGGGATTTTAACGGGAAGATGGTGGAGCTGGCCATGTGGAGAGAGACAGGGCCCCTCACAAAGGCGCTGCCAGGCCTTCCTGTCTCCTAGGCAGCAGCGTCTGGCCTGAGCTGACAGCTCTGCACTTTATGACAGTGTCTCCTCCCTGCCTTACATACCGACTCCATCTCTCCCTCTCTTTCTCCTCCTTCATGGAGTCTGAAACTGCCTGGTTCTATACTTAGCAAATGTCCTACAAACTAACTTGTAAAGTACACCCGAACTGTTAAAAATAAAACCTTAGCAAATGTAAAGATCTAATTCTTTTTAAATCAGTGATTCACTAATTGGGTAACATCTCATTTAACAACTGTTCTCTTTTTCTCTTTCTTCCTTTTTTCTTTTATTCCCTGTAATGCTCAGGGTTAAGTCCAATGCCTTGCACATGCTAGGTAAGTACTGTACCCCTGAACCAAACTCCAGACATTGTATAAAGACATAGAAAAGGCATTCTAAGGAGCTGGACCGTGGAGCTGTGTTCTGTAGGCAGAAAAGCAAAAAGCAGAAAAACAAATGATGTTCACTTCTGAGTCATTTTCGTTCTAGGAATGACAGGGGACATCATTCCAAGCTGGCTTAAATACAGTGGGTTCCAATGAGTTCCTGTTGTACAGCCCTTGTGTGAGCTTTTTATTTTTATAAACACACACACACACACACACACACACGCACGCACACACACACACACACACACACAAGCCTATTTCAAAGTTCAGTTTCATTACCTACACTTAGTACAGATGACTGTTCCAGTTTGATCTAGCTGATTGGTTAGGCATGGTGCAAAAACAAAGGCCTCCAACATCATAAAATAGTGGCAAGCTATTGCAAGAAAAATCTTAAAAACCCTGGTCTAGACTATTTCTTGTAATTTTCAAATCCCATAACCCTAGGAACACTGCAGACCTCATGCAGGGTCTTAAGGGGAATTACTTCAGTTATAATTTACAGGCCTTGCCTAGACCAATTCGTAATTATGTTGATGCTTTAAATGCATTGAAAGGTAAAGGAGTTAGGCTAAAGGAAAGCTGTTCTGGTTTCCAAACTGTCTGGGACAATTCTTTGTTTTTACAGTAAATCACTGTAGAGTGAAGAAAAAAAAAAAAAAAAAAAAAAAAAAAGCACACCATTGATCAGTCCTTGATGTAACTGATTTCTAATTGTAGGTCAGGCATCCATTTAAAAAGAAACGTCAGGGTTTCTCTTTAAGATGACTAATAGGGAGCATCAAGGATAAAATTAAGGATTAAAATGCTTTGGGAAATATGTGGGCTCCTCCAGAATAGTTTGTGTCATTGTTGCTGGGGTGTTTTGTTTGTTGCTAGAATTCTGAACCTGCTTGCAGAGCAGTACATATCCCTATGAGTAAGAGGTTTCGGCTCTACATACATTTGATCTAAATGAATAGCCACAAGTGACTGAAAATATCTTATATGACAACCTGGTTCTTACTGAAACAAAACAATACATTTTCTAATTTAAGTAAAGTCATTAAAGTTGTCCCCCTAGGCTGGCAAGATGGTTCAGCAGTTAAAGGAGCTTGCTGCCAAGCCTGATGACCCGAATTTGATCCTTGGAATCCACATAGTGTAGAGCCAGAGCGTCCTCCACATGTAACATCCAACATACACACGACGAACACATAAATGTAAAAATTTTAAAGATGTTCAGAGAACTTAGACTTTCTGAGAAGATTTCTACTGAAGGAGGGAATGAAACCTGTGGGGTTCACTAAGGAAAACAGGAACTTAATCATTAGCCCACATTGGTCATATGCCCTCATGCCTGGGATGCACCATTTAAAACAAAACCCTCTACTGCTCTTACACACATGTAATCTTCATACATGCTTTCTACTTAAAATATTATCAATATGTCTCCTGGCCAAAGGCACAGCTTCTCTAAAGGGAAGGTAGGCCTATGTTCACATAGTTAACAACTCTGTTTTCTATTAAAAAGGAAAAAAGGAAAAAAAAAAAAAAAAAGCCTGCCTTTTCTAAAACACACTGACTTTTGGCAAGGCAGTCTGTGTTGGAGCCCCTTCTCCATCTCCAGATCCTCTTCCACACCTGATCTCTCACTGTTAGAACCTCAACGAACTCAGCCCTCCTCCCCACCCCCTCTCTTAGAATAATAATTCCATGCACTTTTATGTCTTCAATTTTACTTCTAGAAGTTAAGGGTTAGCTCCTTTCTGGGCTGTGTACTCCTTCCTTGACTTACCATGGGGCTACATTCCAATAAAAACATCATAAACAGAAACCTCACTTGTAACCTAACTTACTGACCACATCTGGGACACTCACATTAGCTTACAGATGGGCAAATTTCATCTAATACAAACCCATTTCATAGTGTAATACTGAATCTCCCATGCCCTTTATTAAGTGCTGGACCACAAGGGAGAAACCATAGCTATATGTGTATAGGAGATATAGTGAAGCTTGCTATAGACATAAGGGGGATATAAAAACACAATAAGCAATAAATACTGGAAACACAGTACACTCTTAGAGCACTGGCTGTTTCCCTTGGTGATTGGGCAGCTGCCTGGGAGCCTTGGCTAGCTACCACTGCCCAGTGTCTTGAGAAAGAAGCTATCTGACTGAATATCACTACTCCAAGAAAAATTTACAGTTCAAAATGTGGAGCTTGGCTTTCATTGAATACCAACAGCGAGTCTGTGTATGCACCCACATGCTTCCTGCAAAACTCCACTTGGAGATCCCAGAGGTACTCTGATCGTAAACTCAACTCATTCCACATTCCATGCCCTTCAAACCCACTTTTTCCTATACTCCTCCTCAGCTGAGTGTGTGGAGTCCATATCAGTTGCTCATAGAGGCTAGAAGCCCATTTTGGAACCCTGCCTTACCCCCCCCCCCAGCCACCTGTCCTCACTGCCACTGCTTCAGTGAACCACTTGTACCCTTTACAGACAACGGAATCATTCCTAAATAGTTTTATCTTGGCTCACCCTACATTCATCCACATCCTGAAAAATCTAGTTTTCTTAATATAATGTCCCAAACGCCAAAAAACACAGGGCCTTTAAGACCTGCCTATTTGTATCTCTTTACTTCTGTACCCACAAACTAATTTGTAGGCTTTTTCTGAAGTCCCCAAAGACTATACAATTGTAACACACTCAGGCTTTCACTAACCTCTTTTCTGATGAAATTAGATTTCATCAGGCAGTTTCCCATCTATTCTCATCTTTTAACTGGGAATCTAACTCTAACTAGTCCCTAGAAACATTGTATATATTCAAGTCATGACTAGACAGACTGGCTCAAGGCTTCCTGTCAAAACCATAGTATTTATTTCACTGTATTATCCTCAGATATTTTCAGGGTTGGCCCTTCCCCCCACTCCCCATTCCTGACTATGACCTTTCCTGGGAATGGATGAACCTAGTTTGCCCACATAAGAAGTAACTTCTGTGTAAGACATCAAAAGAGTACTTTTGAATAAATGAGTGACAGCCTAGAAGAAAACAACCAGAGGCGAATTGAACACTTTTGACTCCCACCTGCAACAAAATGTCTCTATAAATTACATCACCTGCAGTAATCCATCTCCCCAATAACAGCTTTCACTTCTGACTGAGCCTTTCGAAACATAGAGACGATAATCCTTCTAGCATAACCTATAAAGTGCAAAATCTGCAGCCTGCCCACAACCCCAGTCTCATTTCCCTCCCCCCACCTTACTCTGCTTCGGCCACAGGCTTTCCTTCCCTGCGTCTAAGCAGCAAAGCTTATCCCAGTACCAAGGGCTTTGTGCTTCTGATTACAGAGAGGTCTTCCCTCAGACCTTTGTTAGGCTTGCTTTTTGTCATTCATGTCGCGCAAATGTTATTCTCTGGACGATCTCTCCTACCTATCTAAAAGGGCCCATCACACCCTAGTCAGACCGGATTCCATCACTTCGTTTTCTTTTTTCTTATCATCTTGGGGTTTCATCTTTTCTCGTTAAGATAAAAAGAGAATGCTCACAAAATCTCCCCAGCAACTGGAGCAGTGTCGAGCCAGTAAACACTTACTAAACGAATACATGCACTTAAACATCTATCAATGTGTCCACTTTGACTCTCCCCACCCCCACCGCCACCCCCCTCGTTTCATTCACAGGAAACCGCGAGGATCGCTAACCTCGCAGGAAAGCCCTTGAGCCCTCATCGCGATCCCAAAGAGCGTGCTCTCTCGCAGGCTGGGCGAGGCGCCCGCAGCCTGGAAGCTCGCCGGGTCTCAGAGACCGACAGATGCGCCCAGGACCCGCCGCTCGATTCCAAGAAGCGCAGCGGAGCGGCGGCGAGTCAGGGCCCTCGGCGCCCGCCTCGGCGCTGTCGCCTCACACGTCGCTCAATCCGCGCTCACACGCCGCTCCCGCCGCCCCGCTCAATCTGGGCTCGGGTTACCTGGCCTCCAGCCGGCGGGGCCGCACCACCATCACCCCGACACTCGCGTCCACAGCCGCCCGCTCCGGGCCACCGTACTCCGCGGAAGGCCTCGCCGGCCCCTCCCTCGGCGTGCGTAGAAGCCCCATTCGTAGTATAGTGTCTCTTAGCAACCGCTTCGAGTCTCCAGGCCGGGGGTGGAGCCTCGGAAACCACCGCCGGGAAGCGGAGGGGCGAAGAGAGAGCGACAAATCACAGACGAGTTCCAGCCCCTACGGGCCCGCCTCCTCTAACTGTCGCGAATCCGCAGGCAGCTTTACGGCATCCAGGGGGTGGGGGCTTCTGGGTGAGGAGAAGGAAGCAACCAACCAACCAAGTCGCCCCCACCCCCTACCCCCACCCCCACCCACCGCGGATCTGGTTTACGGCTTGGAGCGCAGGCTCCAGTGCGGCAGCTGATTGGTTGCCGAGGGCTTGGTCCCATCCCAGTGACCCCAAAGTGCTGGAAGGAGGGGGCGGGGGTGGCCCAGTGCAAAGTGCATCCCGAAAGCCCCCTTGTCGGGACACCCCGCTGCTGACACTTCGGACCCGGTACGATTTGGGGTCTCCCTGTCTCCAGACCTCTTGAGTCCCTCGGTAGCTGGAAGCCTCCGGCCCGGCGCGCGGCAGACCCCTGGTCTGAGCCCCTGGACCGGGACTGCCCCCCCCCCCCCCAACCCGAGCCGGCACTTCCTCCCTGAACCCCTTCCCGGAGGCTGCTCCGAGACCAAGACCTCCACCTCCAGCTTGATCGGCTGTCTGGATGCTCTCTGGGCTGGGGCCGTGAAGCACCGAGGAGGATCAGGAACACTGTGTCCGGCCCTGCCCGGGGTGTTTCTTCAATGGAGAAGTTGGTGAATGTGGTGGAGGCTGAAAGGAGGGAGACGAGCTGCAGCTGAGGAGACAGGTAAAGTCAGTTACCTGCACCCCGAGGGGAAGGGGCTGGCTGGGTGTGGGAGGAAGGAGAAGCCCTGCTTTCGCCTGCCTGCCCTTGCCACTCTCCAGCCTTTCTTAGCTCCCCGTCCTGAGCCCGCTCCGCGTCCCTGGATCACTGCACCACTCATGGATTTCTGTTTCCCAGGTTTGAGCTGGCTGGAGGACACCCGAGAGCAGAAGGGGTCTGCCCACCCACCAGAGAAGCAAGACAGAGAGTGCTTTGGACGAGCATCCTCTCTAAAGGTAAAGACCAGACCTCCCCTCCCCCATTGTTTATTCCTGGCCCCTACCTCATTAAGCAATGCATTATTTTCAGGGTGGTTGCCTGGGAATTCAAGCTTTCCTAGACCCTAGTTTCCTAGCAAAAGGAGACACACTGCCCATGCCCAATCCTTAACATCTCAATAACTTCTCTACACCAGAAACATCTTCTGGTTCCTGTTCAGAATGTTTCCGTGTTTTGCATTATCTTTTGGTACACAGTGTCATTTACTCTGCTCTGAGGCTTTGAGACCTTTTTGTAGCTCCCCGCCTTCCCTACTCTCATAGGAATTCCTCAATTCCATGTTAATTGCTTGTTAATTCTGAATGATGCTGCTTTTAATTAAGCCACAATTTACTGTTTTCCCTATGTACGGTTTTCTCTCTACCTCCTTCAGGAAAGCTTCAGAGTTACCTAACTGATAATGGCTTAGTAGCAAGAGGTGAACTGGAAGACTGAAACTGGTTTTGAAGAAAATAATTTGATTTGGTTTTCCTGAAAAAAGTGAACATGGGTAGCTTAAGAATGGGTACTATGTAAAAGCAATATTAGCCCCTGTATAGTTTAGTCTTTGGGTTTTTGTGTGTGACAAAATGGATGGACACTAGAGTTGTTACAAAGTGATACATAATATTTGTTACATCTCTGGTGTTCTAGGTGAACTTACAAAAATTTACTTTGTATCTTCTTGACAATAGTAGCACAGTCAGGCGTTATAAAACAAAGTACTGTTTTGGTATGTTCAGCTATCTGGTGCTTGGTTTTGGCAGTGGTCATTCTTGTTTTCTCATTTTAAAACCCTTACAGAGAATTTGCTAGATTGAAATGGTAGCACTTAGTTCATGTGGTCAGATTTCTGCTGCCTATTTTGTTGCTTCCTCCAAAAATGGCCTAAAGGTAAGTTTAGAACATTAATGTAAAGAGAGACTATATACAAACCAACCATATAGAGAGGAAATTATACAAAGGACAACACAGAGACTGCCTAATGAATAACCCTATAACATTTGTTATCACAAATAAAAAAGCAGTTCATTTAATAACTCAAATCTTCAGAATTTTCAGTACAAAGAAATATTTAAGACTTGAAGCTCGATGCCAAAAGAAGAGTATGTTCTTGATGGAATTTAAAAGTAGTATGAATTAGCTCTGCATGATGGGACCTTCTCTGTAATTGCTATACTTTTTTTGTTTGTATGCTTTCCAAGACAGTGTTTCTCTGTGTAGGTCTGGCTGTTCTGGAATTCACTCTGTAGACCAGGTTGGCCTGGAACTCAGAGATCTGACTACCTTTACCTCCTGAGTGCTGAGATTAGAGTGCTAGGATTAAAGGTGTGCACCATCACTACCTGGCTGTGATTGTTATTCTTTCAAGCCTGAGGCAGGAGGATGGAGAATTTGAAGCCAGCTGGGCTGGCTACTGAGTAAGACCCAGTTTTACAGAACTGAGCCAGAGAGAGAGAGAGAGAGAGAGAGAGAGAGAGAGAGAGAGAGAGCGCAAACTAATGTTCACCAGTGACTGTACTATGGAGAAAATTTAGGGTAGCATTAACATATATATGTATATATGTATATATGCATTTGAGATATATATATGAAAGGTCTCTCAAGTTAAAGGATAATTAATATTTAAATACAGAACTGAGGGCTGGAGGTTCTGCAATTAAATATGGATCTCAGCAGTGTGATGCCTGTGAGTACTTTATATCTTTTTGAAAAATGGTAATAAAATATTTGAAGTATGTTTCAAGGATAAAATGCAGTATGGGTTTTATAGTCTAGCTTCCTCAGTGGGGGTGGGGAAGTACTTTTCTCTATAGAGTTAACCTTAGGATGTATTTGCTAGGGTTCTTAAGTGAGGGATATGTTGACCTGAGATTATAAATGAGGAGCACTAGTCACACTTGTAAAGGTGGACATTGCTCTGTCCTGGTTTTCAGTCAGGCCATTATTGCTGATTAAACAATAGTGCATGGATCTGCTCAGCCAGCAATGGTTTTCCTCAGATTAAGTGACACACACACACACACACACACACACACACACACACACACACACACACACGGGGGTTGGGGGACAGGACTGAGGAGTTGAAATAATTAGCATGGTTGAGAATGTTTGGTCTAGGTTATGTCAAACATTTAAAATTTATTTAATTTGGACATTTACTTAACATGGCCAGCTAGTTTATATTTCTGTATCTGGCAGCCAACTTGTATTAATTTTATTATGAGTGACATGGTGGGGGAGTGCTAATCTGATTATTTGGTAACCAAATACAGATTTATATCATAAAAGGAGAATAATTGATGCTATTTAAGTGCTACATGTTTAGTATGTTATGACCACTTTTATCTTTTATACCTAAAATGATGTCATTCACAATTAATTCTATTAGATTACATGTGTACATTATATATAAAGTAAATATATAATGTCTTATTTTGTTCACATGTGTATGTGTGTGTAGTCTTTAGTGTGTTCACATTTAGTGTATGTAGTCTTTAGTTTGTTGATGTTACTGAACATTTAGCCTTAGTGAGCCTATTCTTAAAGTGGGTAAATAAAGTCAGCTACAGTCTGTATATCTGACATCTGACCTTCAATCTTCCCCTCAGTGTACTGTTCTGGCAAACTTCTGAGGTGCTGGCCCGAGGCTGCTAAGTTTGACTTGGCATGCCTGCATTAATAGGGCACTATTGAAAAAGCATTCCTAATACCTGTGGTTTAAGCTTTGAATTGGGTCTGGATAAATGATTCTAAACTTTTCTCTGTCACTTCATCTGCACTGTATGAAAGTCATTGCACTTTCTCTTAGAATTGATGTGAGTCATAGGTAAGTTGTGCATGATAATAAATCTTGGTGTCACACAGAGGTCCAGTCTTGGAGGAAATGTGATATCCTTCTTTAGGGACATAAACAGTATGGTATGTTGAGTGATACTAAAATAACACCTGCTTTATTTGGGGTGTCAGGCTCTTGACTGTATAAGTGGAGCTCGACAGCCTGCCTGTTGGCCGTGTTGTGTATTTTGATTGGACAGAGTGTATTTCTGTATCTGGCTTTCCTCTGGGGTCTTGCAAGCCATTGTTGGATTTTTAGGTTGTGTCTTCACAGCCAATCTCTTCAAGGTTGCTGGTTTTCTTTCCATATCTTGGTCTACTCTGCAAAGAAATGCATTTGTTCTTTCTTGAGTCAGGAACATATTTCTCGTTGGTTTGAGACCAGGAAACTGAGTTTCCATTTGGGTCACTTTATGAAAAGGCAGCAGGCCTGCAGGCTTAACTCTTGGGAGGCTGAGGCAGGATGATCCCAGGTTCCCAACCAGCTTGCACTACATGAGAGGCCCAGTGTCTCAACTCAACAAAAGACCGTGGAAGATGATAATACGTAGAAGTCATTAGTATCTAGTCTTGTGTCAAGCAAATTGTAGAGATGTCAGATTTGTTGAAGACTGTGTATTCTTGGGCAAATTTCCAACATACCTGGATTTATGAGTATATTCTACTTCTGTTTGTTATCCCAGTATAAGATTTTCTTTTAACCATGTGAGGAGATTTTGATCTTAACTGAATGGATTTCACTTGTCCACCTGTAAAGAAATTAGGCAGTAAAAAAATTGTAGCCTTCAATGTGGTCAGTTTTATAAAAACTTGGAGACCTAGGTTGTTGTCTGTTGACTTCATTACAACTGATGATTTAGCAAAATGTAAATATAGTATTAACATTAAGTAGTCAGACTACTTAAAATGATACTCACTGGGAAATTGATTCGTGTGACACTTCCAAAGTCTTCCATATTTGTTTGTTATTTACTTTTTTCCCTGGCTGGAACCTAGAATGTGATTTCTAGAGGTGGGTCTGGTGTCGATGGTTGCTGGAGTCTACAGCCATCATTAATCTAAGAGAACCTTCCATTGAATGTGTATTATTTAGAAAATTGCTCCTTTGTCACGAGTCCTGTTTTATAGTTGCTTTCTTGAGTCATCAGAATTTTGAACTTGTTATTCCCTGTGGAAAACTAGGCTTTTCCATTCCCACCTGTGGCTTCTCTTGATGGCTGTTTTTATAAGCACCTTTGTTCTTAAGGTCCATGGTGTTTTTCCCCCTTTATTTATGCATACCTGAGTGCCCATAAAGTAACACCAAGAGAAAATTAATTACTGGTCTGGTACCTTGGATTTTGAGGCTACTTTGATAATAAATCATTGCTCTTTATAATTCACATTGGTACATGTGTACATGGTACATGGTACACCACATATATGTTTTCTCCCCTGTGATGCAGCACATGTATGTAAGGAATGACAAAGAAAAAAAAAATCCTAAAATGTCTAGCATCTTTAAAACTGTCGTATTAAGGGGCCCCTTGGGAAATGTCTCAGCAGTTAAGAATTCTTCTCTTACAGAGGACATAGGTTCAGCTCTTAACATCCATAGAGTTACTCACAACTCTCTGCAACTCCAGTTCCAGGGGATCTGAAGCTTTCTTCTGGTCTCCTCAAGCACCAGGCATGTATATGGTGCCCCATACTTACACACACACACACACACACACACACACACACACACACACACAAATCTTTTTAAAAGTCATTTTAAATGCACAGGGCTATCTATTTTAGGAGGTCTTGAGCTGTGCTGAGCACACACCAGGCACTTCTATTTGTCCCATTCATTAAAGGGAATTATTATTTTTGATGCAGGGAGAAATAATTTGATCACTTTATCTTTTAACACCCAGTGTTTTCCTGATACTATAAAGAAATATTATTTCATGCTTTCTTCAACACATACCTCCCATGGTTCCTCTCTGAAAATGGTGATGGGCAAGGACTCTTAAAGGCTTGAATCCACACTGGGGCATTTTCATGTCTCTAGGGAGATAGAATACTGAAGACACACTTAGAAGTAAGGTGTTTGATAACATTCATCCTTTTTGGTTTTCATTTTTAGAAATTAAGTTTACTCTTTTGGCAGTTTCATGCCCATGTATATTGCCTTCTGTTTACTCTCACCACCCACCTCTCCTAATCCCTATCATCTCCTCCCTCTCAGTTTCTCCCCCCACCTTGATTTTAACCAGGATTGCCTGTGTGACTCCGGCCAGGTTTGTAACAATCCCCTGGAACCTGGTGGCTTAGTGCCGAATACACAACTGGTGTTGTTCATTCTTGATATGTAGATGCCATCAGAGTGAAAAGTGACCAGTGCTCTCTGCTTGTTGAGAGCCCTGATGCTGGCTCTTTTGTCTCTGCGGTGGTGATTTTACTGTGGCCTTGAGCACTTTCTTGCCCTTAGGCACTATAAGCTGCTAAGGCTTACCTTTTAGACTTCCTGCCTCAGTCTTTGTTTCTGCAAGGATTGTTCCGAGGTATTTATACTTTGCTTTGAAGGAGTTGTTCTGACCATGTCTACTTCATTTATTGGGAAATAATAGGCACAGTTTGCACTCATATTTTAGTTCCATGTGCACACAAACATTTTGCTGTCCTTAAAGACTTCAACCAAGGAAAAACGAGAACATGAGGAGAACAAAAGGAAAACATGGATCATTCTAATTTGGGTTGATTGTCCCCTTGCACAGCCAGCAAGCCTCTACAACTGCCACTCTTCTCCTGCACTTGTCAGGTTGGCAGGTGGCCTGTCCCTCTCCAAGTCTGAAAGTTTAAGTGATAAAGGCACACCCCCCTCCACACACACATCAGAAGGGGTGGCAGGACTCCCAGTGGACTAATTCCTAGAGTGATCTCCTTGTGATGTTGTAGAGGGTCTCTGATGTCCTTAACCTGAATGGAATGTACAGAACGGGATTCACTGGGAATGGGGAATGAGTTCTTTTCTTTTCATTGTAGGGAAAGAGGTTTGTTTTTTAAGAATGCACGTGGAGAAGCCTAGCAACAAGTCTGGCTAGTTAATGTTTCAAGTAGCTTGTTGTGTGCATGTAAATGTTATTGACTGGATGACTGTAAGGCATATGAAGAGCCAGTGTTCAAAGGCCTAATCTCCTTTTACTTATCATAGTTTATATTTGGCCTGGGGCAGCTGCTGTATTGTATGCACACATTTTTTTCTTTCCCCTTTTAGGCCTGTTTAAAAAGAGCAGGTGACTGATGGTGTCCTTAAAAAGTAATTCAAAGGGAATAGGCCTGAAGATTCGTTCTCAGTAGAAAAAAATAAGAATCTTAGCTTTTATCTAAATTCTAAATGTGTGATTTGTTGTTTTCCTTATTTACTCTTTTTCAAGAAGCTTGGGAATGTGGTGGGGGGAAGGGCACAGAATGCCAAAAATAAATCATATTTGTTACCATCTTAGAGATTGTTGTAAGCAGCAAAATAATTTTCTCCTAAATCTCCTCTGAGTTCTGTCAATTTATTGTAAACTCCTAAAACTTAAAATCATCAAAAAGTAGACCGCGCAGACAGCTGTGATTCTTTGTTAGTTTAGGAAAGCCCCTGTGATTGTTATTTGATTTGTTTTTAGGTGAAGAATACTCTTGCTCTGAGACCTGGATACACTGGGAACCCTTCCACATGATGCTGCTTGTACACAATGGTCATTAGGCAACCTGTCTACCAAGAGAAGAGTCACTCTTCTGTAAGGTAAGATGACTCAGAGCCATCAGTGTCCTATGATGTTTTGAGGAAAATACCATGCAACTTTTACTTTTCCCCTTGGAAACTGCTGATGAGTTGGTTGGGGGTGTAGCTCAGTACTAGAGTATATGCTTAGAGGACTAAGGCTCTGGGTTCAGTCTCTAGCAGGAATAAAATAGAGCTGAACAGAAATGAATGACTAAACCTGTGATTTAAAGAATAAACCAATGTATCCATAGTGCAGCAGGCATTGAAAGAAAAATCTAAGTTTATTTTGTTGGTTTAGTCTTATTCCTCCATAGTAGGCCTCTTTCAAGTACTGAGATAATCTCTTATTTGAAAACACTCTTTGGGTGCTGGGGAAGGGGCTTAGTGGATAACGTGCTTGCATGAAAGTGTGAAGACCAAAGTTTGGATCCCCACTTACTCGTGTAAAAGCTGAGCATGGGAATGGATACCTATAATCCCAGCACCAGAGTGCAGAGACAAGGAGGATCCTGAGGGTTAGCTGGCCAGCCAGTCTAGCAGAAGTGGTGAGGTCAAGGTTCAGTGATGGACCTATAATCCCAGCACCGGAGTGCAGAGACAAGGAGGATCCTGAGGGTTAGCTGGCCAGCCAGTCTAGCAGAAGTGGTGAAGTCAAGGTTCAGTGATGGACCCTGGCTCAAAAAGTGAGGTGGAGAACTATAGAGGAAAACACCCTAAGTATATACATATACACATATTCCACATACCTCACTCAGAGCTAATGCGGTGGCACACACTGCAATCTCAGCACTTAGGAGATGGAGATGGGAGCATCAGGAGCTCAGGGTTACCCTAGGCTACATAGCAAGTTGGGAGGTCAACCTGAGCTAAATGAGACAGACTCAAAAACAATAGTAAATAAAGAAAAATTGCAAATGATCATGGTCTGCGTGGACAGTAAGAGCTTTCATTAATCTATTCTGATGTATTTCAATATTGTCTCTTTAACACTAAAACTAATATAAAACCTGTTCTGAAAGGTACTTTTTATGTTAAATTTCTAAGCCAAGAGACTGAATTTCAGGGAAGTAATTACGTGAAGAAACAAAAGAAAATGAGTTTATTAAGAGAACAAATTATCAGGAAATTTTCTGTGAGAGACAGCTGTTTGATACTTTGAAATTCCATCACCTAGTGATATCGCTGAGACTGTAATGATGTCATTTTTATGTGTAAAAGCTCTTAACCTGTGTTTCTTATTCACCAAGCTGGGCTTACTTTACCTGTATATAGTCTGTGATGAGAAATTTCACAAGAAAAATTATTAGTAGCAAAATTATCCTGAGATGTCCAACCTACAGATGAGACCAGAATGTTTTCAAAGGGCTTTGTCACTTTTTTTTTCTTTCAAACAAATTTACTTATAGAAATGGAAGTTAGTAACCAGGAGATTTAGTCTAATTGCTTCTTTCAAACTAGCCCAGTTGGAATGTCTTCCCAGGAGCTTGTCAGTCTAGGTTTCTGTATATATTTCGTTGCTTGAAAGCACGCAGACAGACCTGTACCCCCCACATGAGAAGTAACCATTTCACCTATGTGCATGGATGAGCTCGTTGTCTGCTGGATTTGAGGACACATGTCTCCATGACCTGCAGAGGTTAGAGAATCCTCAGCACTGTTGTCCACTGAAGTCATTTCATCTTGTTATTAACCAACAGGTTATTCACCATGCTAAAACTTCTGGTACAGAAATTAAAAAAAAAAAAAAAAAAAAAAAAAGTTCTAAAGGAATGTGACAGCATGGGGGTGGGTTGGCCAGAGGTAGTGGGAGGAGGGGAGGGAGGGGAACTGGGGTTGGTGTGTAAAATGAATAAAAAATTAAAAAAAAAAAAGTGACAGCAAAAGAAATGGCAAAACATCATAATCAAATTGCCTGAGATGGGAAAACCAAGAAAAAGACAGACACAAAAGCACACACATACATACATACATATGTAAATATAATATATTTTACTCCAGCTTGCTTCACTCAGTCTGCTTCCTCCAAGCTTTGTTTCCTGCATTAAAGATCAGATACTGTTGGTCTACTTCAGACACTTGGCCTAGAGACAGCCTTTCCTTTTCCTTCATAGAATAATGGGCTGTTTTCTCTACTCCATATTGATTGGCTCTGACTTGTGATAGAATCCTAGTAGTTTGTGAGTTAAATCTTGATGGTGCATCATGTAAGTCAGGTGCAGTCTTGACTTCCCAAGACTGATACTACTCTGGTTCCTCTGGTACTGCCATCCTAGCTGCTTAATGCCACCTCTCATTTTACTTAAAATAGAGCCATGACGGCCACATGTAGGTTCAGGCTTTCAGAAGGATGCAGAAGAGATTTTTCTGTTAATTCAGGGTTTTATGTCTGGCTTACTCTTTTAATTAATATAACTTTAATGCAACTGTTGTAAGTTTTGGTCTTAGCAGATGCACGTTAGCCAGTAGTATGAACTGCCATTGCTTACTGTGCTGTGGATAGTTCTGTGGTAGTCAGCGGGCACAATGTGAAGAGCCACACATTCTAAACTTCATTTGTTCTACCTTCCCCGAAAGGCTGACTCCTTTGCCCTAATGACTGGATGGTGAAAAGCGGACTCTGCTAGGATGTTACACCATCACTGTCGGAGGAACCCTGAGCTCCAGGAAGAATTGCAGATTCAGGCTGCAGTAGCCGCCGGGGATGTTCACACAGTACGAAAGATGTTGGAGCAAGGCTACTCCCCAAATGGCCGAGATGCTAATGGCTGGACCTTGCTCCATTTCTCTGCTGCAAGAGGAAAGGAGAGATGTGTTCGGGTATTTCTAGAACATGGAGGTAAGTTACTAGATGCAAAGAGAAACTTGTGATGGTGTTGAGCTGAAAATTCACTCATGCATGTTTGGTATGTGTTTTTTAATGTCTCACTTGTATTAATGGTCATTGTCTCACTTTTTTCCTCTTCACAGGGATTTTTGTGAACAAAACACTAAGTTTTGTTGCAAACTGTATTACTGAGTGGGCTTTACTCTGGCAAGTATAATTTCTACAGGGAGTCAGGCTATCCCAGGCTATTTCCAAGAGCCCTTATTGGGGCTGGTAGCCACTTGGGTTTTAGAAGCAGACGTGGTGGCTTCTACCATGGGGAGTTGCCCAGGTTTCCCCTTTTGGAAATTGCTCAAGCAGAGGAACCTAGTACAGGTCCTTTTAAACATCTCAGCCCACCCCTCATCCTCATCCCTTAGACTATGGATTTACCTCCCTTTCTTCTTGGTTGGTTTCTCTTGTTCTTTTGGAGTTCTGGCCTTTTCCAAAAGAAGGCTGCTTATCTGAGACCTGATTCTGTAGACAGATGTGGTCAGTGACTGTGATTGCCAGTGTACACATCTGATTCAGAAAACTGGCCTTTTCTACAGGGTTTTGAAACTAACCCTCTCATCTGACTCTCTCCTTGAATTTCAACTTCATTCTTGCCCTGAAGATAGGAGGCAAGGTGTGTGTGTGTTTGTTTGTAGATATCATTTACATCTACATTGTCTCTGTAGGGTATAAAACAGCTTGTCTGGGCCATCCTGGACCCCAGATTGCTCATCAGGAGGGGTTTTTTTCATTCTGAGAGTGTACTAGGGGATGTGTACTAGTTAGAAGACTGGACAGGCTTGTTGCCTGCTGATGCACAGAAAGCGTTAGAATTTCCACAGCTCTCTCGAAGGTCATGTGAGTTAGTGATTGTATGAATGCTAAGGCTACCAGCCTAGGCTGACTCCAGGAGAAAGCTAAATCCAAGCCCAGGAGTAATCATGTGTCCCAGCGGCCTGAAATGGAAAGTATATGCCCCAAGTCACTGGCTGTGGACAGAGTCCAGATGTTCCCTGGCCTGTGCCCACTCGTGGCTGCCTTCCATGCCATTTCACCTTCTAACTTACAGACCTCAGTTCTGAAGTTAATGAAGGGAAGCTGAGTAGAAAGCCTGGGAAAAAGAGGATCAGAACAAATCCTGCCCATACTTGGTAAAATTAAGACTAAGATCATAACTCACATTGGCTTATTTCACCTAGTCCTGTGCCTTCCAGCTCTGTCACCCTCGCTTAATAAGGATTAAGTTCAGGTAGTCAGTTAATGTATGGATATTATCTTCTTAAAACAAAGCACATGCTCAGACACACTACACACGGAACCAAGCCTGCCTGGCTGCCACTACTCAGAAGTGTCCCTGGTGTGGGTGACTCGGGGTGCTTAGCCCTCTAGATACTCCCTAACACACTTGTAGAAATTATATTTCATGTGGGATTTAAACTGAATAGCATGCTGTCTTACTGTTCTGCCACAGTTATTTTTTACTCAACTTCATGGAACTTTTTTTCCCCTAACTCTCTGGAGTCTGCTGTTATAATGTGTGGATGTAAAATGACATGGAAAACATGTCATAGCTGTGGCTGTCCTCCAGGTGGACTTTTTGTATAAAGCGATGAGTCAGATGAGGGCAGAAAGAAAAAGCCAATGATGAGTTGGATCTAACTTGTGGACTATAGCTCCTAAACATCTCTCCCTCCTCCACCCCACAGGCGATAATTTACAGGGCTGAGGGTGGCTATGTGGTGGTGTGTTTATCTAGAATACTCAAAGCTTAGAGTTCAATTCCTAACACTGCAATACAAGTGTATGTATGTGTGTGTGCGTGTGTGCGTGCGTGCGTGTGTGTGTGTGTGTGTGTGTATGTGTGTTTGAGTATGAGCATGTGTGTGATAGACTATGCAGTTCATGAACCCAAACTGCACAGTGTATTGCAACTTAGTGCATTTGTAGTGTTCTGTGTCCTGCACCATAATTAATTTCTGAAGTAACTGTTACCAGAAAGGAACCTCAGTGATTCTGTAATACACATGTTCAGACTTGCCCTGCTCTCTTCAGTATAGTATCCATTCATGTAAATGTATTACCATTTGGTTATTCTTTCAACTTTGTTCCTTTTAGTTTTCTTAGAAAGCATGAAATTCTCTCAGCAGACTGTTGAGAACATAGTGCATAATACTCCTGCTTAAAACTCAGATTAATGTTCTCTGGGCTGTGCAGGGAGATGGCTACTAACTTTTCTTTACTACCTGACCCCCCATCCAGAAGCCATGCTTTCACTGGCTTCTGCTGCAGCTGCAGAAATAGCCTGTGCTTGGAGCCTAGTGGTTTCCAGCCTCTTCCTTCTAGCCCACTCCTCTTTATAATGTTCTATTCAGTATATTGACTTTTGTCATCACGATGGTTCCGTCGGTACCCAGTTCAGCCTCAGATTCCACTGTTTGGGTACAATTGATTTTATATGTAACTCCAGTTATGGGACATTATTGTTTGAATTATTCTGCCAGGGCCAGTATTGCGGAAGTGTCCCTGCTTATTCTTTTCTTACCTTTGTCAGAGTTTTTCTCATGATTCCTAGAAGTTTGCCAAATCAAACAGTATTTTATAGATGCTGACATATCCTGCAGTTTCCTGTGCCCTCCCTGACTGGGTGGGACAGTGCCCAGTCTCTACCTTCGTCCAGCAGCGTATTCCTCATGTGACGTGTTTGCCTCCTCCCTAACAAGACTAAGCTTGTTCTTCTCTTCCTCACTTTTGGTTTGTTTAGGTGCCCTTTATAGTTAGTTCCGGGTAGAAATCTTTCTCCTAGCTTGTAGCGATTCTATGTTCCTATTGCTCTCACTATAAACTGAGCACATTCTATTTTGCTTTTGCTTGGCTTGTGTCTCTTGGGTCTTTGTAACAGGAAAAATAAAAGACCCAGAGACTGATACTGGGGTTTGAACTTCAAGCTGAAGAAAAGCAAAGCAGCCAGCCACTAGCATCTTACCCCTACCTCAGTCTGAATGGGCTGGTCCTGTCTCTACCAGCTCTCACCAAGCCTGAGACTGTAACCTCTCCTCAGCATGGCTGGAGAATGAACTTTTCTATCTTCAGTATGGCTGGAGAATGAATGCTTTCTACTAAATATTGAAGACCCTGCTTCTATATTTTATATCCCTCTAGTGCTGGGATTAAAGATGTGTGATCTGTTTCTCTTTTAGACTGATTCAGTCTTGTGTATCCCTGCGTGGCCCTTGAACTCAAAGAGGTCTATCTACCTCTTAATCCTGGGTCCTATGATTAAAGGTGTGCACTACCACCTTCTAGCTTCTGGTTCCTGGGATTAAAGCTGTGTGCCTAGCTTCTATGGCTTGTGGCTGATTTTGCTTTCTGAATCTTCAGGTGAGCTTTAATAAATCCTAAGTAATATATCACCACAGGTCTTGGTTAGTAAATAGTTTATACTGCAAGGTCATTATTCGCCTGCATTTTTTTTCTCCTGATTTTGTGATACTTGGATCACCAGTCTGCCCAGAATTGGCATTCGTGCATGAGAAGAGATGTGTTGGTACAGTATCACCGCTCTTTCCACAAAGGTTGCCTAAACTTCCCCTTTTTCCTCATGACTGCACTGTTGGGTCACATACGCAGGTTTAACATTTGTGTGTCTACTTCTGAGTTCTCATTTAGTGCTCCAGGACCAGTGTAATGCTGTTTGTATTGTTCTATGAGAACATTACTCTAGTCAAAAGAGATTTGACCCCCTCACCGCAAATGTTGAAACAAGAAGGAAACTCATCCATATCCCTCCACCCCCTCCCCGTGGTCATGGTCATGTAACACATGAGGCTTCGACACACATGCACATTCTCTATGTAATGCGCTGATGTAAATGGCCCTGTCTAGGAGTGCCATGCTGAAAGGCTACAGGCTGTGCTAGGCACTGTTGTCCTCATCTGTGATGTGACCAGTTGCTGATTAGCTGTCTCTTTTCATCACTTCTTCCTGTGGAGCCACATTCCACCCCTTAGCAGGGAAAGCCCTCTCTCATGAGGACTGTGGATGCATCTCTTTCACCCCTACATTATAGTCTACTGTCCCCACCCAGTCTTCAAATCATGTGACATTTCTAAGTGGAAATAGAAATTAAACCTAGTAGGGTCTTCTTGTTTCCCTGCACACAATCTTCTCCTTCGGTTACGTGCTTCACCCAGCCACAGATCCTCGAACCCCTGCAGTTGCAGCTCTGTCAGTGCCCCTCCACCTTCTTGGGGGTTTCTGAGCTCAGAGGTTGGTCACAGAGGTCATTGCAAAGTCCCCCACCCCCATCATGTCTCCTTCCCTTTGCATGCACCTGCTTCCCCTGTAAGTCTTCCCATCATTTACCCAGGGCCACTGTGTCCTTCCAATAGACTAAGTCAGGTGAGAAGTTCATTTTTGCCCCATTAGATGCTGCTGCTGGCCTGGATGGTGCTCTCTCTCTCTCCCCTCTGGGATACTGTTCCCCGGACCAGTCATAAGTATACTCAAGGGTAGCTTTCTGTTTAGTGTCTGTAGCTCTGGTTCACCTGAAGGTGTGAGAAAGAACAGACACCAGTAATCTAAATATCTAAACTGATTGTTTCCTGGCCTTGTGAGGTAAAACTAGTCTTTAAAATAATAATAATAATAATAATAATAATAATAATAATAATAATAGTAATAAAATTATTATAATAGTCTAAAAAACCAGTCCATCTTTGGGCCAGGATCAGAAGCTGCCTAAATTCATGACAACCACTCTTCCAAAATCATCAAATAAGGGACTGAAGGAAAGGACTCGAGGCAGGGTAGTTCACTTTGCTCTCCTCACTCCTGTCCTCTTGGGGTTTGTTCTCTGCTTACTCTGTATGTGTGGCAGAACTCTGACATGTATGAGGTGGCCATCTGGTTACTGACAAAGCATTCGCTCACATTCAGAAAGTGCTGCCGAGCACCTAGTGTGTGCCAGGCCCTGCTTTGGG